AGATGGGAGAGAGATGCAGGGAGGCTCCAAGTGTGAGGCATTTTATTTTAACTCAGGAAACCCTGACCTTATTTATTTATTTTTAATTTTGAGCAGTCTTTTAAAATTGTTTTTTTTGGGTTTTTTTTAGAGAGAGAGGAGGAGAGAGGGAGAGATAGAAATATCTATGTGAGAAACAATGATTGGTTGCTTCCTGTATGTACCCCCACCGAGGATGGAACCCACAGCCTGGATATGTGACCTGACCTGGAATCGAACCCGAGACCCTTTAGTCCTTGGGGTGACGCTCTGACCACTGAGCCAAACCTGCCAGGACTGATTATCTGTATTGATTGTAACCGCTAGAATAAAAGAAGCAATGATATAAGAAGATAGATAGACAGATAGATAGATGAGTAAATAAGCAGAGAAGAAGGAAAAACTCTTCCGTACGGTAAAATGGCGCCTAATAAAGGTAAAGGTTACGGTGAAATTGGAGAACCAACACATGTCAACTACCATAGTAATAACTGTTTCAGGGAAGAAGCATCAATAGATGCTAACTCTAGAGGGTGAACAAGATATTTACATAGCTTCATAGCTGGTCCTCACACGACATTGAAAGGAATGATAGTCTTTTTACAGTGGAGACCCTGGTAAACACCACCTTAACCAAGGGAGTCAAGCTAATACCAACAGTAATGGGAAGAACTAATATCATGTGCCTCCTGATACAATGCACTGAGAAGGACACATCATGTCTGTGACATTCCTGCCAAAGATGTGTAACCTGAATTGAATTATGGTGAAAACTCAGACAAACCCACACTGAGGGACATTGTATACCACAACTAGCCTTTGTTCTTCAAAAATGTCAAGGTCATGAAAGTCAAAGACAGACCGAGGAATGGTTCCAAACTGAAGGAGGCTGAAGGGACAGGATGCCTAAATGCAATCCCTGATCCTGGATTGATCCTTGACAGGGAAGAAAAATGAATGAAAACTGAATAAGCTCTGTAGGTAGCGGCGTTACACCAGTGTTAACTGCCTGATTTGCATAATTGTTCTGTGGTTGTGTAAGGTAATGAACATGTTCTCAGGAGATACACACTAAGGTATTCAGAGGTCAAGGGGAATCATAATAGAGCAGATGTGGTAAAAAGTTAACATTTGCCTGACAGGCATGGCTCAGTGGTTGAGTGTCAACCTATGAACCAGGAGGTCACAGTTCAGTTCCTGGACAGGGCACATGCTCAGGTTGGGGGCTCGATCCTCAGTGTGCAGGAGGCAGCCAATCAATGATTCTCTCTCATTATTGATGTTTCTATCTTTCTCTTCCTTCCTCCCTGAAATCAATTAAAAAAAATTTTTTAAATAGTTAATATTTGGGCAATCTGGAGGAAGTATATTCAGGAATTCACTGTACTGTTTTTGCAACCTCTCTATAAACTTGAAATCATTTCAAAATAAAAAGTTAACAAATGGGCCCTAACCAGTTTAGCTCAGTGGATAGAGCATTGGCCTGCAGACTGAAGGGTCCCAGGTTCGATTCCGGTCAAGGGCATGTACCTTGGTTGCAGGCACATCCCCAGTAGGAGGTGTGCAGGAGGCAGCTGAATCAATGTTTCTAACTCTCTATCCCTCTCCCTTCCTCTCTGTAAAAAATCAATAAAATATATTTTAAAAAAAAAACAAAACAAAACAAAAAACAAAAACAAAAAAAAACCCAAAAAGTTAACAAATGGTGATGGAAATGATTTGGCAGAAATAATAGTACTGGTGTACCTCACTTTATTGCACTTTGCAGATACTGGTTTTTTCATAAGTTGAAGGTAAGACCTTCTACCAGCAAAAGATTATGACTTGTGCCCACTGGCTCAGGGGTTGAGCTTTGACCCATGAACCTGGAGGTCACAGTTTGATTCCTGGTCAGGACTCGATCCCCCTCACCCCCGTGGGGGGGCATGTAGGAGGCAGCTGATTGATGATTCTCTCATCATTGATGTTTCTATCTCTCTCTTCCTCTCCCTTCCTCTCTCTAAAATCAATTTAAAAAAAGAAAGATTATGACTTGCTAAAGGCTCAGATGATAGTTAGCAATGTTTTAGCAACAAAGTATTTTTAAAATAAGGTAGGTATATTGTTTTTTAGACATAATGCTATTGTACACTTGACCAACTACAGTACAGTGTAAACATAACTTTTCTATGCACTGGCAAACTAAAAACGTGTGACTCGCTTTATTGTGATATTAAATTTATTGCTGTGGTCTATAACCAAACTGGCAATATCTCCAACATATGCCTGTAAACATAGTAGCTAACACCTTTTGAGTACTCCTGTGTTCCAGGCACTGTCCACCCTCCCAGCAGTCCTGTCAGATAGTGAATGTTATTATCTCAGCCCCATTTCACAGAGGAGGAAACTGAGGCTCAGAGTGGACAAGTGACTTAGCTGGGTTTACATAGGGAGAGAGAGAGGACATAGCTGGGATGGAGTTGACCAGAAGGAAATGAGTGGGCTCCTGGATGAAGCTGATTTCTGCATTTCCCTCCTAACAGCCTCTCTATTTAGACTTGCTATGGTCACTGGTGACTGCCTATGTCATCTATAGTAATAAAAGGGTAATATGCTAATTAGACCGGATGTCCTTCCGGACAAAGCCATGGTGGTGGGGCCAAGGCAAAGGCAGTTAGGGGCCATCAGGCCGGCAGGGGAGAGCAGTTAGGGTGATCAGGCTGGCGGGGGAGAGCAGTTAGAGGGATCAGGCTGGCAGGCAGGTGAGCAGTTAGGAGCCAGCGATCCCCGATTGTAAGAGGGATGTCTGACTGCCAGTTTAGGCCCTGCGGGATCAGGCCTAAACCAGCAGTCAGACATCCCCTGAGGGACCCCAGATTAGAAAGTGTGCAGGCCGGGCTGAGGGACACCCCCCTTCCGTGCATGAATTTTGTGCACTGGACCTCTGGTAAGACTATAAGCTTCATGAAGGCAGCACTGGGTCTGTCTCCATGCTGTCTCCATGGTGCAGAGGAGAAACTCAGTAGATGTTTATCAGCTAAATAGATGATCTCTATAATAATAATATTATAACTATTAATAATGATAATAAAATAATGGTTCTCATTTGTGTTACTATATTTCACCTTGAAAACAATCCCAAGGGCGGTTGTATCTCATTTCACAAATAAGGAAACTGAGGCTTGCAGAGAAGTCTCTTGCCCAAGGCAGGCAGCCAGGAAGGATATGACTGGCACTTGGCACCCCCACCCAGCCACGTTCCAGCACTCACCTTCTGGAAGTCCTTCTTGGAAATGAGGCCACGAGGATCAGTGACATAGTCCTGGAAGGCTTCTGAGCCCACGATGTCCTTGAGTTTCAAGAACATGTCAAAGAACTTGAGGATCATCTCCACGTTGGATGAGGATTCCACCAGCATGTCCACCATCTGCCGGGCAATCATGCCATTCACCACGTTCCCTGTAGACAGCCCCAGGTCAGTGTGGCCCAGCAGAGCCTCCTTTCTGGAGTCCCATGGCTTGCTTCCCTCTCCATCTCAAGAGCTCCCCGTAGCTCCCCAGGATCCACTGTGCTGGTGGAAGCTTCCCCAGCCAGCACCCAAGCCTCCCCTTCAAGGGCATGGGTCACTTCCTGATCTCAATCAGCATCATGTGCCAACCTAGCTGATCCTGTCTTTGTCCACCTCCCGGATAGCTGAAGGAGTCATCATAAAGTAACGATGGCAAAAGCTAATGCAGGTGACAGATGCTGTGCCAACTGCTGTGCTGGCATGATCGCATCCTTGTAAGGGAGGTATGCTACTATCGGTTTTTACAGGTGAGGACACTGAGACTCAGAGAAAGTCACACTCTCAGGATTACACAGCCAGTAAAGGGGTGAGGAGGGTTGAACCCAGAAATGCATGACTTCGGAGTTCACACAGTGAAGCCTTCCACGAGCCCCCAGAGGCCAAGCATGTCTGCAGATGAGCAAGGCAGGCCAAAGCTAAGGTAGCAGGAGAGGTGGAGACTGCGGTGAACTGGGATCTCACACTGCCTTCTAAAGCAAACTGGCTCCAGCTCCTTTATGTACCTTTCAACTTTAATAAATTTCACATTTACATAAAAGGTGCAGTAATGCAAGGGAACCCTCATATATTCCAGATTCAACAATTGTTTACATTTTACCATATTTGCTTTTTTGCTTCATACTCTTCCCCCTCTCTTTTCCCCCTGAACCATTTGAGAGTAAGTTGCAGGCACGAGGCCTTTCCCCACTAAACATTTCAGTGGATATGTCCTAAAAGACATATACAATCATAGCACAGTAACCAAAAGCGGAAGATTTAACTGACAGAATTCAGCTTTTAATTCAGTCCAGCTAGTTTTTGCCATGTGAGACTGTGAACCCAGGGTCACCAGATCTTTCAATTTTTCAAGAAAAGCTGGAAATCTGATGTTTAAAGGAAACCTGATTTTTAAAGTTACTGCTTAGTTACCAAAAAACCTGAAACTCTGTAAGAGGATTAATCATTACAACATTGTAGTGAAATATTTTTAAAAACGTGAATATCTATCAATAGGAGTGTGGTTAAACAAATCACTGTAACTCACACAGTGCAGTACTGTGCAGCCATATAAATGAATGAGGACACTCTTTATGACCTCTATAGAAAACAGCCTGTCTACCAGTTAAATTGTTTTATTAATCAATAATAAATTATAGGTGTTCTTTTATTTTTTATTTTATTATCATTATTTTTAATCCTCACTGGAGGATATGCTTAGAGAGAGGGAGAGAGAGAAACATTGATGTATAGAGAAATATCCATTGGTTGCCTTCTGTACGCGCCCAAATGGGGATCGAACCTGCAACCCCGATATGTGCCCTGACTGAGAACCGTGCACAGGATGATAAACAACTGTGCCCCTCTGGCTGGGCAATTATGGTTGTTTTTAAGTCTACTAAGTTGTAGGATGCTTGTTAGGCTGCAAAACATAACTGATACATTTAGAAACTAAATAAATATTAGGTACATACATTTTTGAAAAGTGTCCAGGCCACCTACTTTATTAAAATTTTTCTGGAGATTCAATAAACTAATGTATGTACAGTCAGGACCTGGCACATGATAAGTTCTCAACAAATGTCTGCTGAGCTTGTTAATGTGGCTCCTTAATCAACCCATTGATACTGACAAGATCAGATGAGGTTGAAGGTTAGGGTCTCCTGGGTCTCAGAAGGCCATGCTCAGGCTTGTCTGCAGTTTTGTAGCTGCCTTCCCTGCCCGAGTGTGTACCTTCCAGCAGTGACAGCAGCATCACCACCATGTCCTTCTGCAGGTCCAGCAGCTCCTTCAGCAGCTCGATTTGGCTCGAGTCCTAGAGACCCCACACCACAACCATATGAGGACGGGTCTCTGAAGAGACACCTCCCCCATCTCTAGCTGCTTCTGCGCCTCCTCACCACCCAGCAGGGCCTAAGACATCTTTTTCCTCCCCTCTTACCTCCGAGGGGACCCGAGTCCAGACATGTTCCTCGGAAGCAGGGGAAAGGGTAGAGAGACAAAAGTGTGGGGATGGGATTGACATTTGGGGGGAAACAGGCCCAACAGGTGATGTGTAGGGGCAAGGGCTGGCACACAAGGACTGGGAGGAGTATGGGGCTTGGAGAGCAGACACTTGGGGTTGAGACAGACAGAGACAGGCAGGGGCACGTACTGGGTCAGAGACACAAAGAAGGGACGGGAGTATCTGAAGGGATGGGAGCTCGGCACTGCCTCTGGCTATGATGGGTGCAAGGCACATGGTTAGTGAATGAATGTGTGATGGAAAAAGTGGGACTCTGGGTTCAGGAAGAAAGCTGGAAGATATAGCCATGTGCTTTCTGGTAAGCTATTTGGGAACAGTGTAAGGATGTACTGCCTCCCCTGTTACAGTGCCTTATGTAAAGCCCAGAAAAGCTTCCAACATGGTCAAAGTTCTGCCTCATGGTCCATATTTGTATAGGTTGAGCTACATTAAACTGCCAATATTCGACCATTTTGACCCACAAAGTGGTAATTTCATATGGCTCTACCTAATAAAATGGAGGATGGGGAGGATAGCAGAGAAATGGGACATAAGGCTTCTTCTACCCCAATGTTAGTTCTAAAGTTGCCTATTCTAACCCTAACACATTTCCACAGTTCCAAAGCTCTGTATTCTGACTCTGAGATTCCAACAATTCCAGGATCTCGAGATCCTGAGATGGGTGGGTATCTGTGGTGTGTGCCTGCCCAGAAGCCAGGCCTCATTTCTCTTAATTCCACTCTCAGAGCATGTGAGGCTAACTCCATCTTCTTGGTTCTAGGGTTGAGCATATGACCAGGTCTGGCCAATCAAAGCCTTCTTTCTCCTGACCCTGCTGATTGGTTCAGGATGGGCATGTGACCCAATAACCCAATCAGAGAAAACTGCAGGTCTTCTCCAGGGCTCCCATGAAAAAGGGGCTCTCTTCCCTCTGGAGCGGTTAGTGGGAGGCTCAGAAGCCTAGGGCACCATTTTTCCCAATCCCTGGGGAGAGCCTGCTTGAGAATGAAGCCAGACAAGAAAGACATTTCTGCTGACATCACTTTAGGCCTTGGAACTGTGATGGGAACTGATAAATTATTTTTCCCCTGTAAGCCACTACTTTGCATTGGGTGTCTGGCCTTTGCAGCCTGACCCTATGAATTAATTCTGCAGGGTCTAAAACTCTACACTATGATACCAACAGTCTCTACAATTTTAAGATTACACCAACATTCGACTTCAACTGCACCGGCACTGAGCAATTGCATTTCAAAATTTAACTCCTTTCAAAAAGTCGAATGACACCAGACAGGGTTTATGCCAGCACCTGTGGCACCTTTGAGTAAATTAGAAAAAGGCTTCCCTTTCTCAAGACTCTTCCTGTTGGGAAATTATAATATACAGAATACTTTACTGCCATCTGCTGGAAAACTATTGTAACACACACTGATGTATGTCATGTCTAGGATGTGGGTGGCGCCCCTTCAGAAGGTGAGCCCAGGTGTAGTGTTTACTTATGGCTGCTATGAATCTGTTCACCAGACAGAAGCAGAGCAAATGCATATGGCGTTCAGGAGGCACTGACAAGGCCGCAAAGTGGAGGGAGAGGTGGGAAAAGGGGAGCACGAAGATTCTGGAGATGGGAGATGGACATTACATCCAGGACGCCCACGATGGGCGTCATATGCCGCAGGCCGACTAAAGAAGCAAAACACTCCTCCAGCCCCAGGCCCTCATCTAGAAGCCTGCGGGTACCCTATTCCTGGGGCTGTTTGAAATGACCTCATCAGAGAGAAAAGAACACCAACCAATCATAGAGGAGCTCCGGCCAGGGGGGGGCGGGACCAAACGTCAGACCAAAAAAGCATGGATAGGAAACCAACCGATTGGTGGTGGCAAAGGCAGAGGCGGGGTCAGGCAGAGAGCTAATCCGGGAGGAAGATGGATTTAGCCTCTGGGAGGGAACCAGCCTGGAACATGCCGGGAGCACTGGGGTGAGAAAGGGGAAAGGGAGCCGGGGGGGGGGGGGGTGGGGGGGGGGGGCCCGGACTTGGAAACGGGCCAGTTGGGGCACCCTGAAGCAGTTGAGGAAAAACTGAGGGGCGAACCTGAGCTAGCTTCATCATCATGTGGGCAAACACGTGCAGGAATCCCACCACGGCGTCCCAGAGGCGGCTGTGCGCCAGGCTCTGCTGGTTCCCGGTGCAGGGGCCCTGCAGGCAGAGGGCTGCGTGAGGCCCGGCGCGGCGCGGGTGCCGACTTCCCCGCCCTGTCCCAGCCGGCGGCCCTACCTGGATGTACTCAGTGAGGCTGTTGAACACCTGTTTAGCCACCGACATGGCCTTGGAAAAGTTCCTCTTGCCCTGCTCCTCAATGACATCCTTGCCAGAGTAGTACCAGTAGAAATCGCTGATGGACTCCTGGGGGGGCCGACAGAGGGTGAGCGGATGCTGGACCGACGATGGCCCCCCAGTCCCCGACCCAGGTCACGCCTGGATACCCTCCCATCCTCACCTGCAGCCGCAGGAGGTAGTCCACCGTGCAGATGATGATGTTAATAGTGGTCGTGTTCCCTGTCTGCGTCCGTAGGTAGTTTTGGAAATCTAAGAAAATTAAAAGTCATTCATTCATTGAGAATCTACCATGTGCTCAGGGAAGTGGACAGTGAGTCATTAATTAATTAATGCATAAGTGTTTAAATAGAGTGCCTATTGTATGTTGAGGCATATAACCACTAATAAATTTATCAAGTACCTACTGTGTGGCAGAGGAAGATGGAGGATAACCTATTCATTTATGTAACAAATACTTGTTGAAGACCTACAACATTCAAGATGTGGTAGAGGGTCATTTATTCATTGATTACTTTCCAAAATACGGTTCTGGAGCATCTACAGTGTAGCAGGGTAAGTGGAGATTTAGTCCTCCATTTGTTTCCAAAATGGTTTTTAAATGTCTACAATGTGCTGGGAGAGATGGAACATTGGTTATTATGTATTTATTTATGCAACAAATATTTATTGAGCACCTACAAAAGCCAGAGGAAATAAGCATCCGTAATTTCTTTGTTCATTAACTCAATATATACTTATTGAGCATCTATATATATAAAAGGCTAAGTGATCAACTGTACATACGTCTGACTGACCAGCCGGCCGGCCAGTACATATGATGCGCACTGGTAATTTAAAAATAAACGTTGTCTTGTGCATGCGCGATACATATAAAGCTCTCACTGGCCAGAACCGGTTTGGCTCAGTGGATAGAGCGTCGGCCTGCGGACTCAAGGGTCCTGGGTTCGATTCCGGTCAAGGGCATGTACCTTGGTTGTGGGCACATCCCCAGTGGGGGGCATGCAGGAGGCAGCTGATCAATGTTTCTCTCTCATTGATGTTTCTGGCTCTCTATCCCTCTCCCTTCCTCTCTGTAAAAAATCAATAAAATATATTTTTTTAAAAAAAGCTCTCACTGGTGCCAGTCACACAAGTGTGTTTCGATCTGTCATTGTCGATGGTGAATTTGGTTGATACTTCTATTATAGAGAAAGGGCGAATAACGATATTAAAATATTTCTTCTAATTAATTTCCTTTTAATGTGCACAAATCCGTGCACCGGGCCACTAGTATACTATCTGCTAGTGGGAGATGAAGATTGACCACTTATTCTTTGACACTACAAATTTACAGGCCTTTATTATGTGCCAGGCACTGTTCTAGGCCCTAGGGATATAGCAGTAAAAGAAAACAAAGGCCCTGCCCTTGTGAAGTTTAGATTCTCATGTAGTAATTTTCAGTATTTTCTAACTGCAATCTATGGTAGGAAATACATTTTCCATTGAGACTCAGAACATGTGTTTCATTTGAAATTATAGTCACATATACCTGAAACAGAAGTTTCACATACTCTTACTATGTGCTGTGCATTCTGATACGTTGTCTCGATAACTATAAGGAATTCTGATCTCAACCCACTAAATCTGTCGTTTTCAACCTCTCAACCTTGGCTGCACATTAGAGTCACCCGAAGGCATTTTTAAAAATCCAAATGCTCAGGCCCCACCCTAGACCAATTAACTGAGAATGGGGGGAGGGGGTGAAACCTGGGCTCTAGTATTTTTTAAGGCTCCCCAGGCATACCAATGTGCAATTAGGATAAGAACCTCTATGATAAACTGATTCACAACCTCTGGTGAGTTGGTTCCCACTATTTAAAAACCTTGTTCTAGGGCAGAAACTATGTTGATAGTAACTATTAAAGCTGAGTGATGGGTACTTGGGGGTTTACTAGACCATTCTCTACTTCAGTGTGTGGTAATAATAATAATATTATTATTAATAATAATACACTGTTCATTGGTGGCAGGAGTGGTGGTGGGGAATACTGGGCAGAATGATCATGGTTGTGATGGGGAAACCCAGAGGGACAATAGGAGCCCAGAGGAGATGCCTGGCCCAGCCTGGGTAATCAAAGAAGGCTGGAGGAGGGGACCTCTGAGCTGAGACCTGAAGATAAGTAGGAGTTGGTTGTACGAATTCCCAGCTGTGTGACCTCAGACAAGTTACTGAGCCTCTCTGTGTGGTACAGACTTGCCCGTTTCCCATTGGTAACACGGTGGTCACATTTATTAGTCTACCTGAGCTATTGAATAGTTTTAATACTTGAGCATACATAAAGGAGTTGGATAGCACTGGTACATAAGTGCTCGATGAATGTTAAGCTGTTCTTAAAAGGCCTTAAAGAAAGTGCTGAGGCTAAGAGCTGCCCTTGGGAGTGGTGATTCTCAAAGTGTGACCCTGGGCCAGTAGCATCAGCACCTCCTGGGACCCAGTTAGATATTCACATTCCTGGGCTCCACCCCAGAACTACTAAATCAGGAATCCTGGGTGAGGCCCAGAAACCTGTATTTAACAAGGCCTCCAGCTGATTCTCAGGCGCGCTTAAGTGTGAGAACCACCTGTTTGCCAAATGACCAAACGTGGGGTTCAGTGAAGTCCTTTCCATGTTGATAGCAATGTCATGTTGCACAGGATGGCTTTAACAGCCCTTGAAAGGTATTTTCCCCTCCAAAGTCTTACTTCCCCCCTGACTTTCCTATAATCACTTCACAATCACTGTATCAGGTGAAATGTCCATTTTGCCTGGTTTCACATTATAAAGTATACTAAAATATTCAAGATTTTATAAGCAGATTTCTCATCAACCCTGTTTGCTAACTCCTTTGTGTTCATTTACATCGGACCATATGCATAAATGGTTAGATATACAGCACTCCACACTCATAAAGAACTCTGAGAACGCTGTCATAGACATGAGCAAATAAGAGACAAACCTTTTATCTTCTTTGAATTGTACTGAATACTCAAGACATGCAACGCATCTGAGATTTCAAATACTTATTTGAATGGGCTGGTTTATGAATCCAAGAATTTAGGCAGAGGACTGGATCACAAATTTACTGGGAGAGAGAAATCCCACTTGTAAGAATGTTTTCACTTCCAAAAAGTGATAGACCCAGGGAATAAAATTCATTTTTAACACCAAAGACTGATTCCACTTTAGTTGAATTTAAAGAAAGGAAATCCTAGTTGTGTGGCAGAAGAGTATTTAATAAACGTTGAAGAATAGTTGTAGCCCTAAGAGCTTTAGAGAATGTAAAGCAATAGATCATGCTTTATCCTTTGTTGAAAAGAGTGAAGATTAGAGATATTTACAAATCAGTTACCTTAGAGAGCACTAGCCAAGTAGGGTGCAGGTTCTATGGAAGTTAGACTTATAATTACTCCCATTCTTGTCATGAAGGCTAATTTCTGGGCAGTCTGTGGCTTCATAATCACCTGCTAAGCATTACAACCACAACCTTGAGACTAAAATGACTTTGGGTGGAATGTTTGTTGAACAGAGTTTGGGCTGTCCCTTTGATGTTATAAGCTATGTGTGCCACAAGGGGTTTTATTTTCTCCCTGACTATGTGTTTAACTTGCTGGTCACCCTTGAACCAGGACAAATGTGAAAACTCTCGCTTAAGTTAGGAAAGAATCTGTAGTTATTCCTTCTGGCAAAGCATTTTTATAAGAAAAATTAATAAGCAATTGTAATAGATTCATTGAAAAATGCCATGTGATTCTTCCCCTTTTACAGAACCCAAGTATGGAAATCCATAACATTTACTCAACTTTGAAATGACTGTGGAAAAATGGCAAGTAGCTAATTGCTCATTTGGGCAAATTGATTTTTGGCCAAATTGGTTTCTGGTAGATTGCTTTTGGGGACTTGGACTGGCCAGAAAGTGAATTTCTGCCTAGATTCCAGAAATTCAAGAGAGATTTAGGTAGGTGGGTGGATTGAGTTTGACCCTGGCTGAAAGTAAATGATGGACAATGGGATCAAGGATAGGTAGTGAGACCATCACTGATAAGGGAGGAGGGAACTGAAGATTAACTCAGGCAACTCTTCCAGACTGTCCCCAAACCTCACTTCCTCTCCACTCCACCCACCCCTCCTTCTCACCATTATTATGCCCCTCACAGAGCAATTGCAGGAATCGAAATAGGTCTTGGGTGAATTCATCATCTGCCATGACCTTCTCTCCTGGGTGGAGAAAGGGGCAGGGCCCAGAAGGGGTGAGGTGCGCCAGAACATGGTACACCTGCACACGGCCCATGCACACTGCACACACATGCGCAAAGCATAGGGGGCTGGGGTGGGGAGGAGCAGCCATCACTTCAAAGACACTGTGAGGGCCATGGACACCCATGACACCAGGAGTCCTGATTTCAGAATCTGACAGCTGATGTAGACCTGATGGGCCCTGAGTCATGAAGCTGGGGCCTTGAGTGTCTTTCTACAACATCAGTGTCTCTCTGATGTCATCACTATGTGACATCCGGGGGTGTCTGCTTGATCCAGTAAAGATTCAAGCAATTGGCACCTCCCTCAGCACTCCTCCAGGGCCAAAGGGTTAATGGATTATGGGGGTTGGGATCATTTTCACACAAAGGCTCGGAGCAGAAAGGGATAGGACTGAAACAGGCTCAGATGCCTTGAAAGCAGCCAATCCAGGAGAAGCAGGGTGTGTGTGTGTGTGTGTGTGTGTGTGTGTGTGTGTGTACATGGGCCAATCAGAACAGGCATCTGAAATAAGCCCATCAAGAAGGGCTGTAGGGGAGGAAAAAGAGGGGAGGCCAGGGCCAATCAGAGCAGGCACAGAGGTTGCACACACACCAATCAGAATGGAAGCTAGGAGCAACCAATCTGGTTGGTGGATAGGAACTGCAGGCCCCACAATGTGGGGTGGGGTCATGGTGCAGAGAGCAGGGTGGGTGGGAATGGGGATCACCCCACCCTGGGGCTGTGAATCTGGGTCCGGAAGTCTGAGAACATCCATCTGGAAAGGGACATTTGCCATCTTCTCTAGCTACTTTACAGATGGGGAAACTGAGGCCAATGGAAAGTAGGTGAGTGGCTAATGTGGGACTTGAATCTTGGTCTCTGAACCCTGTTCTCAATACTTTCACCAGGTACAGTGACCCAAGAAAGAATTCTCCCTCCCTGGATGTCCCAGATCCTCAGCCCCCAGGTGAAGGGGGTGGTGGGGGTAAGAAGGGAGGGGTGGCAGAGTAGCACAGCAAGGGGAATGGGCTGGGGAAATTACCGTTCTGGCGGTTGATGACTGGGGCAGCCAACAGGATGGGAGGAGGAAGCAGGAAAAAAGAGGAAAAAAAGAGACAGAAGGAGATAGAGACAGAAAAACACACAGTGACACAAGGTCAGGGACGAAGACACAGACATGGAAAAAGAAACAACTCACACAGAAAGAGCGATAAGGATACAGAAGGAAGCCAGGAAGAGAGTAGGAATGACGGTAAAGGCATTGGGACAGAAAGGAGAGGGAAGAGATAGAGATGGACAGGTAGAGGTGGAGAGGCAGGAGGCAAGGATCAGGGCAGAAAGGTTAAACACGTCACAACACGGCAAAGAGGAGACTTGATTAACCCGGATTAGGGACATTAATGAGAGAACAGCAACCAGGGCGGGAGACTTGGGGCTTGTGGAAGGCAGGTCCATGTGGTGATGGGTGAGAGAACACAGGACACAAGGGCACCCAGGGGTGGAGATCATGGGGAGGGAGACCCTGGGGGGAATCGGGGGCAGGACTGGGCACCACTGCATGGGCAGGGGAGGGGAGACCTGGGGGTGCTCTTGGAGAGGGAGTGTCTTGGAGGAAGGGAGCCCTGGGCAGTGTTGGGTGAGGGGGCAGATCCTGAAGGAAAAAGAAATTCCATGGAGAGGGAGCCCAAGAGAGGGCCTCACCAGTTCCGTCCTCATTCACCATGCCCAGCCCTTCTGCCTTGTTCTGTCTCTCGAAGGCATTGAGATCCAGGACGCTGAGGGGAAGAAAGGAAAAATGGGAAGATGTGCTTCGGTCCTCTTCCAGAGCCCCGCAGCGCCCCACCCCCACCCCCCCCCACACAGTGGTGGGTGAAGAGCCATGGGAAACCACAAATGAGCAGAGATCAAGAGGAAGTAGAAACTGAGATTTGGCAGAAGCTGTGAAGTAATATGGGGTAAGGACGAAATGTGTCCCAGTTGAAATCAGGAGGGTACAGAAACCATCAATCAGCAAAAGCTTCAGAGGGTCAACACCAAGAGGAGAACAAAGGCAGACAGTCAGAGTCACATTAATAGGGGTCATTAGAGAGAGCCCAGATTCCCTGCTGCGGGGCGCCCCTTGAATTCTCAACAGCCTTCCAGTTCCACCTGCCTGCATCCATGGGGTGGCATTTTGCCTTCCTTATTGTTGCACATGAATTCTTATAATAAACTCCCTAACGTTTGAGCTAGTCTGAATGGGTCTCTGTTCCTGGAACCAAGAGAGTGGAACTAGAACTAGAAGTGGTGGCAGGAGTAGGGGCACAGTGGCACCAAACAGTTTCACTGAAAGATAGACACTAGAGCATACCTGCATGTCTGCATCAGCGCCTGGATACTCTGGAAGAAGCCAACTTCCTTCTTGTCCTTCAGATAATCCAGCATTTTCTGCAGAGGGGGCGGCAGGACAGGGCGAACTGGTAGTCACGCAGGAACCTGCTACCCTTCTTAGCCCTCCTCCCCAGTCCCTTCTCCTGCTACCTGCTGCACATCAGCATTGCCCCCATTTAGGATGGAGATGCCCAGCTTCAGGGTGGAGGACACCATGGCTCCCGTCTCTCCTGGGGGGTGAGGGGGGGAGCAGGGGACAAAAGATGGTCCACTTAGTTTGGGAGCGGGGTTCTCCATCCACCAGAAAACAGCCAATGCAGGGGATGTGAGAGAAAGGGTTGGAGGAGGGTGGAAGTGTGATAGTGACAGAAGATGAGCAAGAAATCACAAGGCAAGTGAAACATGCAAGGGCTGGTGTGTGTGTGCAAACCACAGGCATGCAGGGGTGGGAGAGTGTGCTGCCGGGTCCACAGGAAATGTGGGCTGGGGAGAGTGAAACAGGATGAGTGTGCTCAGGAGGAGCCGGATGCTTGTGGAGGGCACCTTTGCAGGCACTGATCATCTGCAGCACCATCTCCGCCGCCCCTCGGTTGTGCAGCCGTGCCTGCTGGTACAGGAGCCTCTGCTTCTCCATCTCTTTCTCCTGGGGCAGAGCCAGGCCCATGGTGCCAAGTGAGTCCAGGCTCACCAGCCTAGCCTTTCCCTCCTCCCCCCACCCCCACAGCCCTGTCCCTCACCCCTGTGCTCCCTGCTCCAGTCACTGGCTCATTCCTTCAACTCATAAACCTCCTCTATCTCTTGGGAATGAAATCTTAGATTTGTTCCTGGCACCTAGTGCAGGCCTGGGCATGGTGCAATCTTAACCTGGGCCCACAGACCTTCAAGGGGTCAATGGATAAAATCTGGGAAGTCTGTGAACTCGAATGAGGAAAAAAGCTATATGTTTACTACCCTCTAACTGAAATGTGGCACTTCTTCCCATTATGGATGAGGCCATAAAACATAGCATAAGAATCACAGATGAGCCCTAGCCAGTTTGGCACAGTGGGTAGAGCATCGGTCTGCAGTCACGGGTTCAACTCTGGTCAAGGGCATGTACCTCAGTTGCAGGCTTGATCCCTGGCCCCCCTGTCAGGGCGAGTACAGGCGGCAACCAATCAATGTGTCTCTCTCACATTGATATTTCTCTCTGTGTCTCCCCCTCCCTTTCACTCTCTCTAAAAAATCAATGGAAAATATCCTCAGGTGAGGATTATAACAACAACAAAAAGAATCACAGATGTTTCCATATCACATTTTTGTAGACATCTCAAAATATTGTTTTATTCATCACTACTTATCATTTATAGTAGCTTTTGGACCCACTGTTAGATCTTATTTGATAGATTAATAAAGAAGGGCAGATATTAGTATGTCACAAATTTTTAACATAATATTTTGATAACTACTTCCATATGCTTATTTCCTCTCTTATGAATTCATTTTCTGCATTTAAAAACCTAATTGTGAGAAAGGCTTCACTAGATGCCAAAAGGAATTCTGCCTTAGTGATGAATAGGTGGGTTAATCGCAAGTTTACTAGCTCTTTCTCACCGCGTGGCCTTTGCAAATGCTGTTTCCTTACCTGAAACACCTTTTTCCTTTCTTCAACTGGCACACCCCTACTCAGACATCCCTTCCTCTGAGAAGCCTTCCTGCCACCCTTCAACGCTGGCGGGGGGAGCACCGTGGATGGGCTACCACAGCCCCTGAACTCACCCCTGGGTGCTCTGCTTTCCCAGCCCTGACCCGCCCCTGCCTGAGCTTCCCTCTTCACCACCGTGAATACTCTGTGCTGTTACTGTCTGTGATGCACCTGTCTCCCCAATGGACTGACTTGGTCACTCCTGTGTCCCCAACATCACCCAGCCCAGGGCCTGGCTCATAGCACTGCTCTGTGAGTGTATGCTGAATGAATGAGGATGACTGAAGTCAGGGTCCCCCATCCCGTCCTCCAGCTCCTCCTGATCCCACCTACCTCAAATGAAACCTCAACCTCTTCTTCACCTTCGCCGTTCTCCCCTCCCTCCTCCAGGTGACAGCTCTGAGGATGGGGCATAAGTTAGGGATGATGGGGAACAGAGGAGGTCCTCAGTCCACCCCCAGCCCTTTCAGTGGACAGGCATTGCAGCTGAGGAGAAGGGGACCTGCCCTGGATAGGGGCAGGGCCTCACCTTTGCCATGATATCAGCATACGCCATGTACAGGTAATCCTCATCCAGTTTGCTGAGGAAGTAATTGGGGAGATAGTCAGGCCCCAGTGGAGAGGACCCCCATCTTATAGCAGCTTCCAGATTTCCTTTGGAAAGCCAGCCCTCCCCATGCTCAGCCTGTGTGGTTCACTCAGGGTAAATTGGCCATTGCCAGAGTGGGCCTGTGATGAAGACTGAGCCAATCAGTACTATTTTTCTGCTTGGCCACAGTAAGAGGCTAGAGATGGCCCAGTGGAACTCATTTGGGGAATTTTGCTGAAGCTATTGGTAGAGTTGTTCCCTTTCCACTGGGGTTGCTAAAATGGTGTGATGGAAGCCTGGAGTTTCTGGGTCCATCTTACCACCCTGAACAACTATGACCAGCCACTATATCCTTGGGTCATCTCAATACTACTACTACTACTACTACTACTACTACTACTACCACTACTACTACCACTACTACTAGCAATGGCCAAGACCTATTTTTTACCCTACGTTAATCCCTGTTCTATATATATAAATCCTCACAATAATCTTATTAGGTAGGTGTATTACTAGCCACATTTTACCAGTGAGGAAACTGGGGCTCAAAGATCCTTCTTGGCCAAGATCACACAGCTTCTACTAGGGTTCAAACCTGGATAGTCTAACTCCAGAGTCATCGCTTTCCCAGGACACTAAACTTCCCAGCCTCCCTTGCTGCTTTGGTAGCCTGATGCCAGAATTCTGGCCAATGAGATCTGTGCAGAAGCCCACCAAGGAGGGCTTCTCTCCTTGGATAAAAAGATCTTGGCCTTCCATAGAGGAAAAAAATTCTCTTCCCTTCTTTCTGCCTGGCATGTGGTCATGTCTGGAAGTTTAGCATCCATTTTGTGACCACAAGACAAAAGCTCAGAATGGCAGTACAGAAAGCCTGAGCAAGCCTGTCAGCCTGAATGACTCTGTGACTGTCATTGTGTCACTGCCTAGCCCTGGACTTTCTACCTCCTGACTTCATGTTATGTGAGAAAAATAAATCTCTGTGCTGCCATTTCCTTGTCCACAAAAAGGAGTTGATAGTAGTGTCTATTTTACAGTGTCAAGATAAATGAGAGGATATAGATGTCAAGTGCTTAGCATGGTGCCTACACATAAGCACTTGATAAATGTCACCTGTTAGCAGCAGCACCATTACTTCGGTCATTTATTCCCAAGACTGTCATTAGCCCATATGCAGCCTTTGTGTTAATTAGAAAAAGAACCCCCTTCCACACTTCCCTCTGTTGGAAATTTGTCATAATTTACTGATTTGTTCCTACAGTATACTGATTTTGTTTGAGCAAGATGCTTTCTTCTAAAAATGTCAACATCAATATTGCCTGAGATGTGAAACCTTCAAAGATGCCCTTGTGAGTGCTCTGCCTGCCCAGTGGTACATGGTGGCCCTGCCTATCCTGGTAAAGTGACATTGAGAGATCAGCTCCCCTAGGACACAGAAGGTCTCTCTTGAGAAACAGGGAGGTTGCTGGGGGCAGGGAGGTAGTGGGTTCTTTTCCCAAGACCTATGAAGGGTCCTCACCTCTTTTCAGTCAAGGCAGTGCGGCTAAAGTGCAGGACCAGTTGGTGCAGGGGGTCTGGCTTCTTCTCCTCCACTTCTTCCTCTTCCTCCTCCTGCTCCCCAGCTTTCTGGGGGAAGGAGTGGGGTTGGGGAAGGGGCTTCCAGAGTCCCCTCCTGTCTCCTCCATAGCCCTCACGGGCTGGATTTTTTTCTCACATGCCCCACATCCTGCACCCTTCCCTGGTTCTGTGCAAGCCAGAGGCACCTTTCTCATACTTCTCAGTGTGAAGGGTGACCCCTGGAGATGTGCAACAGGCAGGCTCAGCCCTAGCCCTATCCAGCTCTGCCCCCACACTCCCAGGCAGGCCCCAGCTCACTGAAAGGTCATCTATCATGCGGTCCTCAAAACTGTGGTCTTCAGTCAGGATCCATGTGGCCTTGTACCTCTCCAGGAACATATTACTTGCCCGGTGCCTGCAAGGGAAACGTGTGGAGTGACAGTGGGACCTTCTCTCCACTGCTTCTTCTGACCTCCCACAAATCTGCCTCACCAACCATTCCTAAAGAGCCCATCATATTGGCCCTCCATCCTCCTGCCCTCTCAGCCACCCTTTCTTCGAGGTCCCTTTAGCTCCCCTCCACCCTAGGTGTCTTACGTGGGCAGGTTGTACAGGGGGGTCATGCGGAAACAGGCAACAACCGCCCTCCGGCGCTGCTTGGACAAGAGCTTGTGCCACACAGCCTTCTTGGACTTGAAAGGGTGCTCGACCTGGGGGCAGAACAATGTCATGTCCCCAGACTCTGCCCCTGGCCTGATTCCCACTTCCAGCCTGAGTGAAACTGCCCATCTGTGCCCAGGTCCGACTAACAGGGCCAAAGAATCACTTTGCTTCCACTGACAGAGTCAAGGTTCTAACCTGGTCTCTGCTTCCAGACCAAAATTTCTCTCCTAGGCCCCACCAACAGACCGAGGGTCTCTACCCAGGCTCCGCCCCTAATTCCAAGGCCCTTCCCAGGAGTCAAGTAGTCTCCATAAGGCCCCACTACCTGAACCAATGTTCTGTCCTGGGCCCAAGATTGAGTGCACTGATTCAAGTTTCCATTCTAAGCCTCAATTTATTTATTTATTTATTTATTTATTTATTTATTTATTTATTTATTTATAATTCACCTTAACATTAGACTTAGAAAAAAAACTTAAAAAATGTTTTTTATTGATTTCAGAAAGAGGAAGTGAGAGGGAGAGACATCAATGATGAGAGAGATTCATCCATCGGCTACTTCATCCATGTCCCCTACTGGGAATTGAGCCCTCAACCGGGACATGTGCCCTGACAGGGAATCGAACTGTGACATCCTGGTTCATGGAACCAAGATGGCAGCACTTACATATGTAAGTGCCTGTACCCACTGCTTCCCACACCCACATGAAAATTACACCTAAAATACAGAACAATCATCATCCAGAACCACCTGAAAGCTGGCTGAATGAAAGTTCTACAACTAGAGAAGTAAAGAAGAAAGCACCCTGAGACTGGTAGGTGGGGTGGTGGCACGGATCAGGTTGGACCGACACCCACGTGTGTGGATTTTTTAATCGGGTGGGAGATCATCTTTGCGGAGGCTCCCCATAAGGAGCAAGGGGTCTCAGCCCCACACCAGACTCCAAGCCCAAGCTCCCAGAGCTGGGAAAAGAAGTCCCCATAACTATGGGCTGTAAAAACCAGCAGGGATTGGGGCCCAGTAACACGGAGGCTGCTGAAGACCCAGCTGATCCTCTTAAAGCGCCTGCCTGTACACGAATTGAATTTACAAGGTCCTACTTCCTCTGAGCTCCAGCGCCAAGACAAGTCTCTAGGGGACACAGACACATATGGGAAGGAACTGGATTGTCTGGCATCAGGGCAGGAACTCAGAGGCGGCTTTCTCCCAGTCAGAGGTGCTAACTGGGGTCATTGTTCCTGTGTTGGGACCTCCCCAGTTGCATGGCTGACTGGCAGCCAAATATGTTTGCTCCATCACCCTGGTGATTCCCTGAGACCACTGCCCCATCCAATTTTCAGCCCCATCCAACCTTTGTGCAGTAGCTTTTGCATATGAATGGCCTGTCTTTGCTTAGGCTTCAGACTTTGCTAAAATCTCTCAAACAAGCTTCAATGGGGTTAGGGAGCCCCAAATATATCAGTAAAAGCCCAACACCCAGCACTAGCACCAGCCTGCCTTGCTTCACAGCTGAGCCTCGTTTGGACACTTCCAAAACAGATACAAATATGGAGAATCTGCAGATAGGTGGCCCCAGGCAGTGGTTGACTTTGCACCTCCCTAGAGACCAAAGAGCCAGTACACCCAGTGGTCAGTGTCAGACCATACCAGATTACAACTCTATGCATCCACAAGCGACACACTCAAGGGGCAGACTCAGTGAGCACCAAAGCCCCACTAAAGCAAGTCCTGCTCCTTAGGGGTGTCTCCTCCACAGCAGCTCTTCTATTGTAGCCACAGCTGGTCCTCACAGCCAATTGGCCTGGAGGTCTATTCCTCCCAATGACACCAACAGCAATCAAGGTTCAACTACAACAAGACTGTGCACAAGCCCACAAAGGGGCACACCTAAAGTGCCCGGCTCAGGTGACTGGGGAAGCTAAGCCACTGGGCTCTATAGGACACCTACTACACAAGACCACTCTATCAACTCAAGGAGACATAGCAGCTCTACCCAATACATAGAAACAAACACAGGGAAGCAGCCAAAATGCGGAGACAAAGAAACATGTCAACAATGAAAAAAATGGAAGGAAGCAAACTACTGGATATAGAATTCAAAACCATCTTATAAGGTTAGTCAAGAGTTTTCTGAGATCTTCAAGGAACTTAGTGAGACTTTCAAGGATCTCAGTGAGAATGCCAAAAAGCAAACAAACAAACAAAAAAAGGAAATGAACCAGTCAGAAATTGAGCATACACAGGCTGAAATAAGGAATAATATATAGGGATTCAACAGTAGAGTAGAGGATCCCGAGAATCAAATCAATGATTTGAAATATGAGGAAGCAAAAAACACCCAATCAGAAGAGCAACAAGAAAAAAGAATCCAAAAATATGAAGATAGTATAAGGAGCCTCTGGGACAATTTCAAGTGTACCAATATTTGCATTATGGGGGTGCTAGAAGAAGAAAGAAAGCAAGATATTGAAAACCTATTTGAAGAAATAATTACAGAAAACTTCCCCTACCTGGTGAAAGAAACAGACTTACAAGTCCAGTAAGCACAGAGAATCCCAAACAAGGGAACCCAAAGAGGCCCCACCCAAGACACATCTTATTAAAATGCCAAGGGCTAAAGACCAAGAGAGAATCTTAAAAGCAGCAAAAGAAAAACAGTTAACTACAAGGGAGTGCCCATAGGACTGTCAGCTGTTTTCTCAACAGAAACTAAGCAGGCTATAAGGGAGTGGCAAGAAATATTCAAAGTGATGAATAGCAAGGACCTACAACCAATATTACTCTATCCAGCAAAGCTCTCATTTAGAATTGAAGGTCAGATAAAGAGCTTCACAGATAAGAAAAAGCTAAAGGAGTTCATCACCACCAAACCAGCATTACATGAAATGTTGAAGGGTAGTTTTAAAGAAGAGGAAGAAGAAGAAGAAAAAAAAGAAAAAGATAAAAATATGAACAATAAAAAGGCAATCCTATATAATAAAAGGCTAATATGCAAATCGACTGAACGGCAGAATGACCAGTCGCTGTGACTTGCACTGACCACCAGGGAGCAGACGCTCAACACAGAGGCTGCCCCCTGGTGGTCAGTGCACTCCCACAAGGGGAGCACTGCTTGGCCAGAAGCCAGAAGCCCTGTGGAGAGCGGGCCTACACTGGCAGTCAGACATCCCCTGAGGGCTCCTGGACTGCGAGAGGGTGCAGGCCTGGCTGAGGGACCCCCCCTCCCCCGCCAGTGCACGAATTTTGTGCACCGGGCCTCTAGTAAATACATATCTGTCAACAATTGAATATAAAAATCAAAATAAACAAATAAGAAATCTAATAAACAGAATAAACTGATGAATAAAATAGAATCAGAGGCATGGAAATGGAACAGACTGAAGATTCTCAGAGGGAAGGTGGGTAGGGCGTGGGAAGAGATTAAACAAAGATCTTATATGCATACTAGAGGCCCGGTGCACAAATATGTGCACGGGTGGGGTCACTCAGCCTAGCTGGTGATCGGGGCCAATTGAGGCCGTGAGAGGTTTGCTGGTGCGGGGAGGGGCCATGGGAGGTTGGCTGGCTTGGGGGAGAGCTGGGGCTGCAGGAAGTTCGGCCGGTGGCCCAATCAGGGTCATTGGGGCTGGCAGGCTGGAGGAAGGGACTGCGGGAGGTTGCCTGGCCACAGGAGGTTGATTGTGGGAGCACACTGACCACCAGGGGGCAGCTCCTGTGTTGAGCATCTGCCCCCTGATGGTCAGTGCATGTTATATCAACTGGTCGACCGGTCGTTCCATTGCTTAGGCTTTTATATGTATAGATATGCATTACCTATGGACACAGACAATAGGGTGGTGAAGACCTGGGGCAGGGTGGGAACTGGGTGGAGAGGGGTGATGGGGGGAAAAAGAGGGACATCTATAATAATCTTAACAATAAAGATTAATTTTTTAAAAAAGGCTCAACCACTGAGCCCTACTGGCTGTGCCTAAGCCTCGATTTAAACTCAAGATTCCACAGAAGCTCCACCCACAGACCCAAGACCACCCCTTGCCCCCCCTCCCCCAAAAGCCCAGGTACACCCTCAGGCCCCGCCCACAAACGTAAGGCCCGCCCCTTGTCCGGCCTGGAGATCATAGCTCGGCAACTCAGCAGTAAGACCCTGCTGGCCGCCCACCTGCTCCAGGTGGTAGAGCACCGCAGACACTTCCTGGACTCTGCGCACGATCTTTTCAGGGTCGTCCGCGTCCTCCTCGCGGCCTGGGAGGCCCCGGTACAGGGCCATCTGCCATCGCAGAGAAGGGGAGCCCTCCACCTGAGAGGAGGAAGAACAGTGGGCTGGAGTGAGCCTGTCCGCAAGGCCCTCCCTCCGCCCGGCTTCTGGCGGGGTGGGGTGGGGTGGGGTGGGGTGGGGTGGGGTGGGGAGTGGCCCTGCACGCAGTGTCTGCCCGGGCCTACTGGGCCCCTTTCAATCCAGTGGGAAGTGAGTACAAGTTAAGGTCCCTCTTTCGATGCCTGGTACATAGTAAGTGCTCATAAGTTGGCTCTTTTTGTTGCTGGTATCCCAATGTGCGGATTAAGGAGGCCTACCTTTCCTTGAAGGTGAAGATTGTTATGCAGAAATTCCCGGACCTCCTCATCCGTGTCTTTCTGGGGGGAAACATGGCCAGACCGGGTCACTCCGGAGGGCTCAGCGCCCTCCTTGACCTGTAACCCTTCCCCTTCTAGGCCTGTCATCCCAGCAACTGGTGGGAGGCTTGTGTAGGGAGGTTGGGTGAGAAACTTGAAAGGAATCAGAGATCAGGAGTGATCAGAGGGGGAGTCCTAGAGGCCACAGAGGCACCTTGAAGAGACAGTAAAGATTAGAAGGGCCTCGTGGGGGTGTGGGAGGAGGTAGAAGGTGACAGGATAGCCTCAAAGGTCAAATAAGACCACAGAGGGATTATTGGAAGTCAGAGGAGGGTCAGAGTGGGACTGCAAGTAAGTGGGAGATGGATAGGGTGTATCTGATCAGATGGGGTGAAGGAGGTTATAAGGAAAATGGCTAGGTTAGTAGAGGTCATGGGAGATCAGCTATATCAACCAAGTCATGGGTAGGGTTTACACAGGCCAAAGGAGGGGTCAGTAGTGTGGGGGTTCCTTAGAGTCCCAGGAGAGGGGGGCCCTCAAGGACCAAGTTGAGAGGTCAAAGAGTTCTTTGGGGTCTTGGCAGGACTCAGCAAGGTCCTAGGAGGAGCCCGAGGTCCTGAGGGAAGGATACCAGGGGAGGTCAGTGGGGGTAGTAAGTTGTAAGGTTACTCAGCAGGGTCCTGGGGGAGGTTTTAGAGGTCTCGGGATAGGATCCTCTTAGGTTCTTGTGGTGAAAAGGATCAGGGGTGGGGGAGGGTGTTATTCCATACAAGGGGTAAGTGGGGTCCTGGGAGGCCTCCTTTAAGTCCCAGAGGGCTTAGAGTTCAGGGGCAGGGTCAATTGATCCTGTGGATTCTTGGAACCTCAGAAGATTGTTCATAGACCTGGGGAGGGGCCATTAGGATTCTGCAGGGCTACTTAGGGTCACAGGTGCTCACTGGGCCCCTGAGAGTTTTGAGGGGTTTAGATGAGCGTCAAGAGAGTCTAGAGGGAGGGTCCAGCAGCATCCTAAGGGAAAGAGGTGATGAGCTAGAGAGCTCAATGGAGACCCAGAGGTTCAGGGGAAGGCCAGTGGGATCATGAGGGGCTCATTGCTCACTGGGTCCCGAGGAGTTTAGGGAGGTCCTGGTGGAGGGCTCAGAGGAGTCTCAGTGGTGCTAATGGTATCTTGGGTGGGGTCCTCAGGGTCATAATGGGTTTGGCATGGTCCTGGGGGAGGGTGTTCAGTTGGATCCCTAAAGGCTCAATGTGGTCCTTCTAGGCCTGTCAACCCAGCAGCTGGTGGAAGGCTTATGTGGGGAGGATCGGAGAGGGTCTTAGTAGTATTTCTGGGTTTCAGTGGGGTCCCAGGTAGGGTCCTTAGGTCCCAGGGCTCTGGCAGTTTCTTGAGTGGGGTCCTTAACATCCTAGGGGGTCCAGTGAGTCCTCAGGGTCCTAGAGAAGGATTCAGTAGGGTCCTAAGGGAGGGCTCCCAGTGGGCTCCTGGGGTCTTGGGGGCTTGGTGTAGGGTGCTGAGTGGGATCCTGGCAGATTCCCAGAATGGGGTCCGGCAGGCACCAAAGCATAGCGGGTCTTGGCCAGCGCAATGAGGTCCTGGTCAGTGGGTGCACACATGTTCAGGCCGATAGGCAGCATCTTCTTGAGTGTGGCCACAATCAGCGATGTCTGCACAGAGTACCGGTCCCCCCTGCGCTTCTTCTTGGTGCGTTCCTGGTCTGAGCCACCTGACTGTGGGGACATGGGGCTCAGCACCAGCATGAATGCCAGCCCAGCCCCATGCTTGGTTCCCACCCCAACAGCCATCGCCCCAGTTCCCACCCCAGTCCTTGCTGATCTTTCACCAGATGCCCAGCCCTGACCCTCCTAACCCCAGCCCCTATCCCAAATTCCTAACTTCTGTCCCAAACCCTTACAGATTCCCCCAAATTCCAGGCCTTTCTCAACCTCTGGAGGTCTTCTCCCAAAATCCCCTAAGAACTCTCAGTACAACATCTCTCCAAAAAACATGCACAGCCCCACACTTCATATCTCAAGACTGAGTTCCCAAGGATGAAACAAAGATGAGACAAGAGAAGTTGGAAGAAAAAGAGAGACACTGAGAGACTGAGATGGACAAGAAAACAGGAAGAGAGAAGATGCCAGAGAGATCCAAAAAGATCTGGGAACAGAAACACGGGCATGGAGTCCCATAGCCATGTTCTGAGCCTTGGTGCAGACCTATGGTCAGGACCACCCCAGTCATGCCAATGAGAAGCCCGGGTGACAAGCTTTGGCCAGAGCCACATCCACACCAGCTCGAAATATGGAGGCCGTACATGCATCTGAGTCCTCGCAGAGTCCTGGGCCAGGGGCCACAGGCCAAATGCCATCAGCGGCTCAAAAGGATAAGACTGTTGACCAAGGTCACATAGCCAACTGTCAGAGTCAGGATTCTAACCCAAGTCTCTCTCATTCCAGAGCCCAAGTCTTAAACTCAGCATGCACGTGCCTGTCCCACCCTCATTCCCATTCCTCACAGCCTCAGCCCACAATGGACCTTAGCCCACAATGCTTTGATGCTTTGGGGAAAGCTGAGAGGTGGGGTTTTTTTTTTTTTTTTCAACGAAAGTTAAAAAAAAAAAAGTAAATTTGCTCAAAGCTGAGGGTTGGGAAGGGAATGGATGATTGGGGACAGGGAGGAATGGGGGGAGAAAGAGGATGGTAGCTGGGAGCCAAGGATGAGGGGTGGGGAGTAGGGACAGGGGTTTTCTGGAGGGGTGCAGATGCTGGGGTTTGTGGGGAAGAAGGTATTAGCCAAGAGTCATGCGGAAGGTTCCAGATGAGGGGCTGACCTGTACGTCTCCTGCCTGTTTCATCAGATGGCAGACAGAGACAAAAAGGGTTACCCCAGTCCCTCAGAGAACCCCAGACCTAATTCCAAGTTGACCTAACCCAAGCTCTCTGCCCACCGGACATGCATCCCCTTGTAGGGCATTCCCAGACCTTGACTCAGGGTGGGTGGGTTTGTCCTTTAGATTGAACCCTGTAGAGGGCAGTTCTGAGAGGTATAAGGGGAGAGGAGAGGGGGCCCTGGGATAATGGGGATAGGAGGAAGGAAATGCAAGATGAGAGGGGACAAAGCTGTGAGGGCTGCAGGGAATGTGACCAGGACAGGGCAGCCGGCTGGATGAGGAGGGGGCAGGTAGGAAGCCCTTGGGTGTTCCCTCCCTCCCTGCTAAGGCCCCTCCCAGAGCAAAACACCCACCTTGGCCATTTTGCTCTTGTTGTCGGCAGTCAGAAACGACATGTTGTTGATCTCATTCTGGACCACGAAATTCTGCTCCTCACGCTTGAAGTTCTGGTGGCAGAGGCAGTACTGGGGTCAGGCAGGGTGGGGGGAGGGCATCTCAGGGCAGCAGCTTCTCAAGTATGAAGAGGAGCAGGGAGTGAGCAGGGACTCACGTGGGACTTGCACCAGTAGATAAAGATCTCGCCCACCATCCTGAACAGCTCTTCAGCGTTGGGATTGGGCTCCGTCAGCCAGTGCGCCCTGGGCAGCAGGGAAGGGGCTGGTGAGAGATGGGGTGAGACACCCAGGAGGGGGGCTACACAGGAGATCTTAGGGGAGAGGGTCAGGGGGACCAGGAGACTCCAAAGGGAGGGGTGGAATTTTCTGGGTAATCTGGCCATTTGGATTATTTAAAGTTGATAAATGACCATTCCTTTACAAACTTTTTTTTTCTCTATTGAAATGTAACGTGCACAGTGCTGGTGATGCTCAGCAATGGCTGGGAATCCCCTTTGTTTCCTGGGTGTGAGGACAGCCCTGGAGTCACCACCACAGGGACCTTTAGCTCTACTTTGTCCTGGAGAGAGGGAGGGATTGCAGGGAGGAGGGGGACAGGGACATTTTTAAAGCCGGGAAAGAGCTGAGCCTTTGGGTTTGCTTTTTTACTCTTGGAGTGAAATTGTGTAAGATAATGACACATAACTTTCCCACCCTAAATTATTTCAGCTCTGTCAGTAGCTGATGCAGGATTCAGTTTGTAACTGTTTTATTCCATGCTTTAGCTGTAGGTTGGAAATGTTCTCTCCTACAGAGCAGGCACTGGGAGCAGAATAATAGACCCATTAATTATAAATTTATGCTTTAAGGTTTTTTAAATCTGGTTTTTTATGTTCCCTCAGTAAATTTAAGAGTTTTTTATATGTAAACCTAAAGCAATCAAAAGTTTCTACTTAAACTTTGTTTGCAACTCCTTGAACGAGAAGATTGAATTTATAGTTAAATGCACTATTGAGATTTTTTAATGAGGCAAATAAATTTTTTCTACAGTTAAAAAAAGAAATATAACATGCATATAAAGTGTCAACTTGATGAAATATCACAAAGTGAACACACTTGTGTAACCAACCACCACCCAATTCAAGAAATAGAACATTTTCAGTCCCCAGAACTACCCTTGTGTCTCTCCCAGCCACTCCCACTTCCTTCCTCTTGAAAAAATGACCCTTATCTTGACTTACAGACCATGAATTATTTTTGTCTGTTCTTGAACATTACATAAATAGATGATACGATATGTACTATTTTTTATTTTATTTTCCTGGCTTCTTTTATTCAACCTGATGTTTGTGGGATTTATCAATGTTGTGTGTTGTAACTTTGTTCATTTGAATTATTGTGTAATATTCCACTGCGTGAATATACCACAATTTACTTGTTCAAACTCTTTGACCCAGCTCTCCCACTCCTAGGAATCTGCCCTATAGCAGTACCCACTGGTGAGCAAAAAGATGGATGTGCAAGGATGCATCCAGCATGCATACCACCACTTCCTTTTCTGCTCCCAGGACAACCTTAAAATCTTTCCCAACAAGGATGGAACTGGAGTTGAAACTCATTTACTATCCCTGAATTAGGCTGCTCGTAGGAGTCAATAATTCTTTAAACAGTTTCTGAATTTAGAGAGACATTAACAGTTGGTTGATACCTGCACTTGCTCTTTTATTAAAGATCTATGTTTCTGGGGGAATGAGACTGGTCACATCTGGACTATCTTTCTTCTCCCAATGACAGAGAAAGGCCTAATGATTGGGCTTTGCTGCACAAATATCAGCCACCTCATCTACCCAAGCCTGGAGGCCCAGTGCTGGAGAGAAAAGCAGGGCTCCTTATAGCCGACATTGCAACCGTACAGGGGCTCAGATTCAGGACGGGCAAAGGGGCAGGAAGGGAGCAAATCCAGGGGGTTGGATTTTGTTGAGCCAGAAGCAATGGGGTTGGAGTCAGTAGGTTGGGTGAGAATGGCAAGAAGTTTATAGCAAGTCAGAAGGGATTCAGGAAAGCCAGAGGTTAGGCTGAGGTATATGGGGGGACAATGGGGACATGCTGACCTGTTGTTGTCCACGTAGCGGATGAGCAGTGGATAGAGGGCATACAGGTCCCGGCAGAGCACAGAGAACTCGTCCCGCACAAGGAGCTCACCCTCCTCGGCTTCTGCCTTGGCCTCCAGGCGCAGCTGCTCCTCCTCGGCCACCACCTTCCCCGCCCGCTTGCGCAGCCGCCCAATGGTTGGGATAAAGTGTGAGTGCAGGAGCTCCGGCCGGGCCCGGCTCACAATGGGCTGGGCAAACACTGCAGGAGCAAAGTGGGGACACTCATTGCTGGCCAGCCTCTAACTCCAGCATCTGACCTATGACCTCTGTTCCCATCCCATGACTCCTCTGACCCAGCAGCTATCATTGACCCCAGCCTGACCCTGGCTTCTGACTCCAGCATTTATCTCTAATCCCACTTCTGACCTTGGGCCGTGACCTGTAACATAGTCCCTGAATTACGGGTGATCCCAACCATCACCCGTAACCTGAACCTGTGATCCCAGCCTAACACATGTGCCTGACCTGTGACCCCAACTGATATCTTACCCTAGCCTGTAACCTCTCACCCGTCTTTAACCTCTGACCTGGTCCCTACCTAGACTCTTCCTCACTACATGATTTCTCACTATGGCTTCTTACCCCAGCCTTTGGCCTCTGATCCTGGCCTCCGATTCCAGCCTCAACCTCTAGTTTGAACCAATTTTTGACATAGAACTTCTAAACCAGGAATCCCAACCCTTTAAGGACTAATGTCTTGACCTCTTACCTATAACCCATCCTTATCGGGAACCTCATCCTCTGACCATTTGCATAAGGAACTCAGGCTTCTGACCCTGTTCCTAAATCCTGATCTAACCCACTCCCAGGTTCCAGAAATTCAGAATCCAGCCTGGAGGACTCCCCGGACTCATCCTTTCAGCCCTGAGCCTCTCACCCCTTGTGATGACCCTTGACCTTCAATCCCGAAAAAACCTAGACTCTGACTCCTCCCAACTCCCAGGAGACCATGGAGCCTGGGATCTCCCTCTCAGACCGTTAGGTCAAGGGGCCCCAGCCCCTAGACCCTGGCCCCAGCCCTCCGAAGCTTAGTGCCCCCCAGACCCACCAGCAAGCCGTTTCATCCACGAGGCCTCGTCAATGCCCAGGTTATTGACGATGATTCGAAGGATATTCCCCAACAGGGAGTTGAGGTGGTCAGAGGTGACAGCTGTGCAGGGTGGGAGGACCCCAGCGGGCAGGGTGGGTGGGGGCACCTCAGGCCCGCGCTCCCACCAGCGGGGCAGGTAGCTGCACAGCATGGGAAGGGTGATCTCGATGACATGTGGCATCTCTGTGTAGCGGGCCCCCGACTCGGCCAGCCCCCCGATGTCTGCCATGAGCCGCTCCAGCACTGGGATGTCAGGACACATCTCCTCCACGCTGTTGGGGAGCCCCAAGACTGGGGTGCAGGGAGGGATCAGGGCATGCCAACCCATCACCCTCAGACCTCAGTGTCCACACCACATACTAGGGTCCCCCATAAGCCCTGGGATTCCCCAATCTGGAGCACATCCAAGCTTGGGAATCCTCAGTCCCTCAGAGCCCAGATTGGGCCACACTGCTCCCAATGTGGACTGGAACCCTGACAGCTGCCCTAGCCCCGCACAACTTACTGGCCCGCTCCCGGGGAGACTTGGTGGTGTACACTGAGTAGGCATTATACTCGTTCAGCTGAGGTTCCAGAAACGCCACAGGCATGGCCGCTGCCAGGCGGGCCAGGCACTCCCCGAGGGCTGGCCGTAGCCTGAAAGAGGATGCTCCTTAGCTCCCATGCCCTTCGCCTGGACCTGGGTCCCAGCCCCAGCCTCCACAGAAGGGACTCTCCCCAGAACCCTTTGGAGCAGAGTGCTGCTCACCAGTGGGCACAGATATGGCCTTTTTCTCCGGCTTCCTGAATGCCCTCTTGCTCCACCTGTGATCTTGGCTCAGGAGAGCCCACATGAGCACTGCCAGGGCCCCCCCAGTGCCCCAATGTGCTATGGCTCCTGTGTGCTACCCTCGTTTCTGCAAGCCCCTTGTCAGGGCAAGCTTGTTCCTCAGCAAAGAACACCCTGGCATCTGGCCAGCAAGAGCCTGGTCATCCCCCCACCCCACTCAGCCCCCACCCCCAGCGTGGAGGCCTCCATTTCCTTTGCTGGCCTTCACCTGAGTGCCCTCATGTGGCCTCCTTGGGGAACTGCATCTGCCACAAAGTGCGGCTGTTGAAGACTTTGAACATCTCCCCCGCTTTTCACTCACCCCCAATCTTCTCTTGCGCCCTCCCCTCTCTGAGGCCCCAGAGTGCTCATTCCAGCCCCAAACTATGATTGTTCCTTCTTACTTTTCCACATAAGAGTTTCTGGTTGTTCCCAGAGAGTAGATGCTGCACAGTGTTCGGTAGCATGAGACCTGGACGTCATCCACTGAGAGAGAGAGAACAAGGGTGGAGGATGTGCCCACCACACCAGTGCCCCAAACCCCTCCCTTATATCCAAATGGTGGGTAAGAGCAGGGGCTGGAGAGCTGCCTGCCATTTACTAGTTTTGTGACTTGAGCAAATACCACTCTCTTGGCCTGTTTTCCTATCTGTAAAATGGAGATAATTATAGTATCTTCCTCATGAGGGTTATTGTGAGGATAAAACCAGTCAATACTTGGAAAGCAATTAAAACAAGGCAAACAGCAGGCACTCGATAGAGGACTCGTGGATCTTTGATGATAGTGATGGATACTCTCCAGAAAAATGCAAACACACATGCAATCCTGGCTAGAATTTTAGGTTAGCCACCCATCCTCTTTGGATGGTCAGGTTAAGAATCTCATCAAGTTCACAAATGTCACAAGGGAAAAGAGGGCAGGGGGACTGTCCTAGATTGAAAAGAGACTATAAAGCCATGAGAGAAACATCACTGGATTCTGAATTTTTAAAAAATCAAAGGCATTTTGAGAGTAATAGGGAAACTTAGATATAGTCAGGTCGGGGGTGATTCTGATATGTGGTTACATGAGGGAAAGGTCTTACTCAGGAGATACAAGCTGAATATTCAGGGTTGGGATGTCACTATGTGTGCAACTCATATTCGAAAGTTCAGAAAAGTCTGCAGATCCTTCCATCCGTAAAGTGAAAGGTAAAGCAAATGGGGCAAGTTCTTAACAATTCTCTTCTGTTGACTTTTCTGTATAGTATTAACATTTTCAAGTAAAATGGAAATCCCCATTCAAGTTCTACTTTCCTTACTAGGGTTTTTAAAAAAATGTTTTATTTATTTTAGAGATACTGGAATGGAGAGGGAGATAGAAGCATTGATGAGAGAGAAACATCAACATTGATTGATTGGCTCCCCCTGCAGGGATCGAGGCCCTTGGTAGAATAAGCATGGCAGACACTGCTAATTGACTCCCAGCACCTGTTCTTACCTACTATCTCTACTTCTCTTCTTCCTAGACCTCCAATATTTAGCTCTACACATGGCCTCCAAGAATAAAGGCTACTTTCCCAGCCTCCTTTGCAGAAACATGGGCCACGTGCTAAGTTCTGGCTGATGGGACTGATGTAAGCAGGAGTGATTCGGACCACTTGTAGGTTGTTCCTTTAAAGTAATTGAAGTGCCCTCCTCTTTGCTTTTTCTCCTCTCCTACTGGTTAGAATAAGGATGTAATGGTGTGCTATCTTGGACCATGTGGATAAAGGCAATATTTCAGAGACAGCAGAGCAACAAAATGAAGGGAACCTGGAGTCCTGACATTATGATCCACTTACAAATAGACTGTTACACAGGACAAAAATATAATTCCATCTCGCTTAAGCTATGTGATTTAGGCTCTGTTGATAGAGCTGCTGAAGTCATCCTAATTAACTCATTCTGTTACCTACTTATTTACTGAATGCACACTTTGCTTATGGCAATAAATCCACTCAATAAATACACATTTAAACACCTGATGATTCTATTGGGCACACAGGGATGGGTGATGTTGGCTGAATTGCCTCCCCCCCCCCCCCCCACTTAGGATCAGTAGTCCTTACGGATGACATCATCTCCAAACTGGTGCTGGGCGATGTGCTGGAAGAGGGTGGTGAGGACAGGCAGCAGGGCCACGGTGGTGTAGGTGAGGTTCTGGCCCACACCCTTCACCTGTGTGCGCGCCTGTGACACCTTGCCCAGCCTCAGGTTCTCGACCATCTTCTCGATGTCCTCCGAGGCACTCTCAAAGAAGGAACGGAGGCCAGCCTTCACGATCTCAGGGCCTGACTTCATCACCGTCCTAGGAGGGAAGTGGGGGCACCCAGTTCTAGAGTATGAGAGTTTAGACTTCAGAGAATCTAGGAGTGGGCACCATGACCTGTAGCCCTACCTGGCATCCAGGGAGCGTGCCAGGATGTGAAGACAGTTGACAACAGCTGGGGCATCCGTCCCTGAGGGATGAAGATGAGCTTGGGTGAAGGAAGGACTACAGGACAGTACCTTCATCTACATCAGCAGTTCTCAACCTGTGGGTCGCGACCCCTTTGGGGGTCGAACGACCCTTTCAGAGGGGTTGCCTAAGACCATCCTGCATATCAGACATTTACATTACGATTCATAATAGTAGCAACATTACAGTTATGAAGCAGCAACAAAAATAATTTTATGGTTGGGTCACAACTGTATTTAAAGAGCCAGAAGGTTGAGAACCACTGATCTACATCTACCCCAAATTACCTCTCCGCACCCCCACCCAGACTCCCATAGGCTTCCGTTCTTCCCCATCCAGGCCCTGACCCCCCCTCCCCTTCCTGACCCTCCACCATCCAGGCCCTGACCCCTCAGGCCTTCACTCTCTGGTGATGAGCCTGTTTTCCCTGTCCTGGCCTGTGAGCTCCATGAGCGCTGGGCCCAAGACTGTCCCAGTCACTGCCCCCAGGTCTACCTAGTCCATGTAGGGTTGAGGGGAAGAACACAGTAAAGGTTGTTCAAATTAAGGCATGAACCTGGGCCACACTTCTTCAGGGTGGGGTTGGTAATGAGGGGAAGAGAGGGAATATTAAGAAGGGCTTAGGGAGCAAAGTTACTTACCAAAGAGAGAGACGCGGTGACGAACAAGAGCAGCAAGCTTGCAGAAGAGGCTAATGATAGAGAAAGGACAGGGGAAACAGGGTGCAAAGACTCCAAGGGGACAAGGGCAGTGATGACACAGTTAGAGGAGGCAGGCATAGGGAGAGGGACAGAGACAGAGCCACGAGGAGATAGGATGATGGGGAAGAAAAAGAAGAAGACAGGAGGGGTGGGGAGGGCAGAGATGAGTAAGCTTGAAAGTAACTGGCAATAACTGGCATGTTGGGGCGGAGTGGGCAACAAATTCATCCCAGTTTGCCTGCAAGTCCCATGTCCTGGGAAACACCTCGGTCTCGGGCACAACAGGACAGTTGGTCACCCTGCCCTTTAATTGCCTCTGCAGATGGAGGTAGTCAGTGCCCGGCCCCCAGGACAGAGCCCCTAAGGTCCACGGTAGGAGTATAAGGTCCAGGATTACAATGCTGTGAGGTCATGGGGCTGGGTCAGAGGTCAAAGGGCAGCCCACCTGGTGATCATTTCCTTCTCCTTATTGGAGGCATGGCCACCACTGCCCAGCACTTTGGCCGGAGTGGACAAGAAATACAGGCAGTGGTTGGTGAAATATTGGTTGATCAAAGGGAGCAGGATCTGAAGAGTGAAGGGGGGAGAGATGAGTGTGACTGAGTGAAGGGTGGAGAGAGTCTATCCAGTTCCCAGCCTCCTCCAGCTTCTGAGCCCACCTCTCACCTTGGCAAAGAACTTAATCTCCTGTTCGTGTGGGGACTTTTCTACTCGTCCACTGCTGACCACAGCCTCTGGGGGGAGCAAAAAGGGGTCATGGTGGATTCAAGGCTAGTGAACTCAGGGTGTTCTGATGGGGCAGAGTTAGGAGAGGATGGGAGATAAATTCTTCACATGAAGTCAGCCTGTTGGCTCTGAAATAAAACTCTTTCCTACCTTTCATCTGCTGCCCTAACTCTTTGCTCAAACCCTTCTTGAGGCTGAGAATGGGGCAGGGCCATGGAACATCCCCCTCCTCTCCTATCACAAGCCCTTTTCTTCCTGAACATCAATACTGGCATTGAGTAAATTTGAAATAAATGAAACTAGAGGTCAATATTAAAATGGAAATCAATTTCAAGTGTAATAATAATGGTGACAGTAATAATTAATACTATTAAAATAATAATGCTGACCCTAATTATTATAGACTTGCTATTTCTTGGCACTGTGAGAAACATCCTTGTACCATCTCCTCCCACTTTGGAGGTCTGTGTACAGTGCGTTTTCACTTAACATCCTCCTTAGGTTCTTGGAAACTGCAACTTTAAGCAAAACAATGTATAAGGACACCGATTTGACCACAGGCTAATTGATATAAACAAGAGTTAAGTTCCTATGGCATATTTCTCATCACCAAACTTCTAAATAAAGATCCCAAACACTTACAATATTAAACTTTGAAATAGATGTGAGCTCTACATACATTTAAGAAATCCCTCCATGAGCTGCCCCTGCCACCTCTCTGGCCCCATTTCCTCTCACTCTCGCCCTCAGTCACTCTGGTGCAGCCAAACAGGCCTAATATTCATAGAAGGGGCCTCTCAGAGTCTTTGCACTGGCTGTTCCCCTGCCTGGAATACTCTCCCCAGATGTCCACACGGCCCCTTCCCCGGTTCCTTCAAGGTCTTCCGGAATACTCCCCTTTGCACCTGCCTTAGCTGGCTCTATTGTAGTCTTTCCCCCATAACATTAATCACCTTCTAACATACGAAGTGATTTAGTTATTTCTGACATTAATTGTCTGAATCCAGGACAGGGATCTTTGTCTGTCTTGCTCACTGTTTCGTCTCAACACCTTTAACACTGTCTGGCACAGGAATTACATGAGGGAGGAAGGAGACATGCGTGACCTGGCTCCCGGGTAGGGCAGGCATCAGGGAGGGACTTCTCCGCACCCAGGTGGGCGATAAACTCCTGGGAAATGTCCATCCAGCGTAGCAACTGCTGCAGGAAGCCAAAGGCGAACCGTTTCTCAATGGAAGATGTATCCAGCTCCATGTCTTTAAGGCCTCTGCGTGGATGGGTGATGGGAAGGGTCAGCTTAGACCCAGAATGCCCTGTTTTCCATCCTTCTCGAGCTCTGACTCTGCCTCACCCCAGGTCCCTGGAGTTTCCAGCTCCTCCCTGGACTAGAGCTGCTTCTTACCCCAAGCCCCACCCTCTTAACACGCCCCCATCTGGCTCCACCCCATTTGTCACTCTCCACCCTCTTAGCTTTCTCCCCCTTTCTGGTCCCGCCCCCACGCTCCAGGCCCCACCTTCTTAGCCTCTTGCCCTCTCAGGTCCCGCCTCTGCTCTCCAGACCCCACCCTCTTAGCCTCCTCCCTTCTTTGGCCCTGTTTCCCCTACACCGGCCTCAGTTCTCCCAGCTGTGCCCTGTGGGTTCTGCCTCTCGTCCCCACTGCTCTCAGGTCTGGCTCCCAGCCCATGTACCTGGTGACTGCATAGCCATTCATCTGCAGGAACTTCAGCAGCTCCTGGGCCTTCTCTCTATCTCGTGCCTTCTCCTTGGCAGTGAGAGTGTCGTAGGGGACCAGCAGAGGGTGGGTCCCACCACCTGGGGTGGCAAAGACCAGAAATCAGGGGGCTGGGAGGGACCCAGGCCACTCTCATTGAAGTGGTTTCTGCAGTTGAAGGCTTATATAATTACTAGAGGCCTGATGTACGAAATTCTTGCGTGGGTAGGATCCCTATGCTTGGCTAGAGATTAGGGCCAATCTGTGGGGCAACTGGCTGGCCTCTGCCTTGGTTGGCCTGGGGCCTGCGGGCTGGGGGCAGCTCCTGCATTGACCCTCTGCCCCCTGGTGGTCAATGCGCATCATAGTGACCGGTAGTTCAGTCGATTTGCATATTAGGCTTTAATTATATAGGATAGTAATAAAGACAGAGATAAAAATAACCAAAACATTGCTTTTGGATGTTCTTCACGTCCTCACCACAAACCTAAGGTAGTAAATGCTATTATCCCTGCTGTACAAACACAGAAACAAAGGTTCAAGGGGATGAAAGCAATTGCGGAAGATGAAAGTCACACAGCTCTAACACAGGCCCTTACGATCCAGAGCCTATGACTAGGGGACTGTGGAGAAGGGGGATCTGTGCAGAGGCGGATGGGGCCTCTCACCCTTGGCTTCCAGCTCCTGCTTCTTCTTCCGCCCCCATGTGTTGTGGTAATTTTCCGCCAGCTGTTCTGCCATAGCCTGGGTGTGGATGCGAGAGTCAAGGCCCAGACTCAGAGGATGTCCTCCCCCACTCAAACAGACACCTCCACACCCCAAAAGAAAAGATGAGGGGGTCTCACCTGCAGCTCCCGGGACAGGGTAACTCCGCTGAGGTCGGGTGGTTGGGGGTTGTAGCCTTCTCTCGGATCATAGGTCTGGGAGGACAAGGGAGAAATGGGGGGCTTGGTGGGTTAGCAGGAAGCCCATGCCCGGACCCAATCTACCCCCCTCACCTGGCCCTAGACCCCTGCTCTGCACCCTCTTCTTAAGGCCCTGCCTCTAAGCCACCCCCTACTTTCTATTCTGCTGTCTCCTTTCCTGGGCCTTCTCCTGCACCTCATTGCGGGCCTTCCTCCTAACCCCACTCCACCTCCTGCCTGGCCTCACCCTCTCCTGGCCTTGCCCCTTATTCTAGCCACTCACCACCCCCTCAATGCCCAGCCCTCCACCCCGGTCCAGCCTCCACCTGGGCACTTTGGGAGATCTTCCTTGTTTTCTTCTTCTCCGTCTTCTCCTCCTCACCCTCCCTGGCTTTCTCTATGGTCCATTCCCAGGCAATCATGGCTTTCAAGGACTCCTTGATAGGCCATCGATAAATCTCTTTGTCCTGGGGTTGATAGGAGAAAACGCAGTTGGTGGAATGGGGTGAGAGGGAAGTGGAGGTAAGAGGCCCTGGCTTAGCTTCCCTGGCTTCCAGTGTCCCAAAAAGGGGAAAGCCCCCAGCACGTGGCTAGGAAGTGGTCCAGTTGAATTTGAACGTAGGTCTCTTCCCTGCTCTGTAACAGAGCTTTCCAAACACACTCTCATTGTCCCATGTTACACAGGAGACTCAGAGAAGTTAAGGATGGTCAAGGAATCAAACCCAGTCTCTCCGACTCTTCCAGAAGGAACACTAAGAGTCCTGGGTTTAGGGGAGGCAGCCAAGTTCAAGGAAAGGCACAGTCCATGGAGAGGGATCCAGCTAGATCCAAGCCTCTGAAGCAGACTCACTCCTTCCTGAACCCCCAAACTTAGAGGTTTCATTTTGGACCCCCAACATTGGGCCCCAAGGCTTGGTCACCTTCTCTGAAAAGGTCTTATATGGCCTCAGCATGGGGTGGGTCTTCAGCTCCTCATCTACGTTCTCCCCATACGACCAGTTATTCTGGATCTAGAGGTGAAAAGGGATGGGTGGAGGCAGTGTTACCACACAGCTGAGGGTAGGAGCAAGATGGGGGGTAAACAGCAGCTTGGGGTACACAGAGAGGAAACCCCGGAGGGTTGTAGGTCTCAGGAAGGGTTAAGTGTCTCAGAAAAGCTGATGTTTTGGGGCAGGGGTAGGAGTTCCTGGGAAGGGGAGGACCCTGATGCCAACCTTGTCGAAGGCCCACTTCTCATGTGTGTACTCTGCGAACTTGTTAATGAAGGAGTCCAGCTTCTCTGGGATGATCACACTATTAAGGGGGACAGGGTCAGCAGATGTTGGGGCTGGCCCTTCCTTCCATCTCTGACAGTCACATTCTACTTCTCTTTGCCCCGGATCCCACCCTCTCCTCCCACAAGGCCTCACTTGAGGGTCTCCACAGGCCGAGGATCAAAGTTGCCTTCAGCATCCACTGTAGCCTTTTTCTCAGCCTTGGACGAGTATGAGGCATCCACGTAGTCAGGGGGCAGGGCCCCTGCGATGGCGCACAGACAAGGCATAGCTATGCGGTACAGCTCTGGGTCATACTTCTAGGGATGCCAAGGACAGGGGTGTCACTGCAGGCCTGGCCGAGCCTGCAGTTCCTGGAGTCCAAGGACCTCAAATTTATCCCTGCCATCAGTCACCCTCCTCCCTGAGCCCACAAACATGAATTACGAAACCCAAGCCTCAGTCCCATCTGGACCCTCAAGCCATCCTATGTAACCATCTCCAAGCCCCCAAATTAGAGGCCCATCCCATCTTCCATGACACCCAAATCAGAGGTCCAACTCATGGATTCTCTTTGATCCAAAGGACCTCCCTCCCTGAACCCCACATTTGGAGATTTCATCCTGAATCTCAACTTTGGACTCCACCCCTTCCCAACAGGTTCTGTTCAGGGTCCCCAGGTGCCCAGACCTTGTGTGCCAGCGAATCAAAGATGCCCCAGAAGAGTTTCCTTGTGAGGTGCAGCTCTTCCTCCGAAGTGATGCCGAAGTTGGCCCAGCCTGTGGGCAGGCAGTAGTACTTCCAACAGCGCTCATAGTGGTTGGTAAGAAGCTGGATGGGAGAAAGGAAGAGGCAAGCAATGAGGGGGCGGAAGAAGTTGGCAGGCAAATGAAAGTCCTGGGGGGCCCAGGGCTGCCAGTGCTTTTACATTTTGAAGGAGGTGTGGGTTATGTAAATAGTGCCAGTGAGGGGAATAGTATGCTTATTGGGGAGTGGTCCTGCACAGTTTATTATACAAATTTAGCATTCTAATTTAGAGTCAGGATGGGCATTAAAGCAGAGCTGGATTTGTCTGGTATTGTTTTACACCAATAATCCATGAGTAGTGTTATGTATGAGTAAATGGACACATGGATGCAGTGGTTTGCTCTTACATCAATTATCATGTGGAATAGAAACACCAGCAGCACTCCATACAAAAAATGGTAATTGTGAAGAGGGCCTCCACATTTAATATGCAAATTTGAAATAGGGGCTGATTTAGATGTATTATGCAAAATAGTCAAGATATCTGAGTTGGAGGTATCTCCTTATGAAAACTAGCATGGAGCCCCGCCGCATGGCTCAGTGGTTGAGCATCGACCTATGAACCAAGAGGTCATAATTTGATTCCTGGTCAGGGCACATGCCCAGGTTGCAGGCTCAGTCTCCAGTGTGGGGCATGCAGGAGGCAGCTGATCAATGATTCTCTCTCATCATTGATGTTTCTCTCTCTCTCCCTCTTCCTTCCTCTCTGAAATCAATAAAAATATGTTTTTAAAAAAACTAGCATGGAAATAGAAAATAATAATAAGAAAGACTGTGCAAAGATTCAAAATAGCTGTGGAACTGTTTATTAAAATAAATGTACTCATTTGAATAGTAGAAGGCTGGTGGTCTGGGCATAAGAATAAGCATGCTAATTAGGAAAAGCAGTGTGCCCCATGCAAATATATGTTAATTTATGTGCGGGTTGGCTCAATGTTAGGGAAATTAAACTTTAATTAGAGAGTGTTAGAGGCACCAATGACACAAAGTGAATATTCTGGGAACCCCAGTATGCAAATGAAAATGCTAAAGAATGGCTTCATATTTGCAGTTTAACTGCCCTGCGGGGTGTTGATACAAATGAGAGCGAGCGGTGGGCGGGGCATGGAAATGAGCGAGCTAAAGAGCGTCTGCCCTCACCTTGAGCGGCATCTTCGCGAACTCATTAAGGATGGGCACGTCGAACACCAGGCGCCGCAGCAGGTGCTGCAGCATGGACGGGCGGATGTACCTGGGAGGACATTCAGCGGGCGGTGGGCTCTCACCTGGAAGCCCACCCCACCCCACTCCACGGCCCCGCCCCGCCCCGTCCCCGCCGCCTACTTGCAGAGCGCCATGAGGCAGTCCTCGATGACGTCACGCTGCGCTTTGGTGAGGGAGCGGCCCCGGGACAGGCGGTACACGGTGTGCAGCATGGAGTCCACCATGATGGCGCGGTGCTCGGTTCCCGCAAAGAGCGGCGCACACTTGGTGATGAGCGGCAGCACCGCCAGGCACAGGTATCTGTTCAGCGCCAGCGCCATCTCAGTAGTGCTGAACGTGGCCTGGAACGCAGAGTGGGGACTTCAGTCCTCTGTGGCTCCTGGGGTTGCCCTGGCACTCGCGCTGGACAGCTCTGAGCAAATGACCCAGGCTTCTGATCTTTCCTCCAAACCTGCTCCTCCTAGTCTCTACTCTCTTACAAAAGTGGAGAAGCCAATTAATGAACACTCATTACCCAGATTTAACATATATTTGCATTCTGCAGTTTTCACCTTGGGCATGTTTATTTCTTCTAACCCCACCTTTTTTCCTGTGATATTTTCATGCAACACCCAGCCTATACCATTTTATCCCAAAATACTTAAATATGTATCTCCATTCAGACAAGAAGTTCTATTTAACACTCTATGCTGCCATTATCACACCTCACAGAATTAACAATCCTATATAATAATCCTATATAATAAAAGGGTAATATGCAAATGGACCCTAATGGAGGAGCGACCAGTTGCTATGATGTGCACTGACCACCAGGGGGCAGACGCTCAATGCAGGAGCTGCCCCCTAGTGGTCTGTGTGCTCCCACAGGGGGAGCTCCACTCAGCCACAAGCCAGGCTGAAGGCTGCGAGCGCAGCGGTGGTGGCGGGAACCTCTCCTGCCTCCTCGGCAGCACTAAGGACATCCGATTAACAGCTTAGGCCCGCTCCCTGGGGGAAGTGGGCCCAAGCCGTTAGTCGGACATCCCCTGAGGGCTCTCCGGATGCCAGAGGGATGTCTGACTGCCAGCTTAGGCCTGATTCCCCAGAGAGCAGGCCTAAGCCGGCAGGTGGACATTCCCTGAGGGGTCCTGGACTGTGAGAGGGCAAGGCCAGGCTGAAGTACCACCCCAAGTGCATGAATTTTCATGCACTGGGCCTAGTGTCTTCATATTCATTATCAGCTTTCTCCAATTGTCTCAAAAGTTGCTTTGCATTTAGCTGAGATTGTTTGGATCAGGGCTCCAGGAAGGTCAACATACTATGTTTAGCTGACGGGTCTCGGGTCTTTTCATCTGCAGCGGTCCCTTTTCCTCCCCCGCTTTAAAGCTGTTTATTTGCTGAAGTAACTGGGTCATTAGTCCAGTGGAATCTCTTCCTGATCACTTTGGCTGATCACTTCCTGGTGGTGTCAGTTAACTTGTTCCTTTGCCCCAGTATTTCTGACAAGCTGATGGTTATAGATTCAAGTTCACTGTATTCCTCTTCCCAATTAACGGCCAAGAGTTATTTCTCCCATCCTTAAAGGAAGAGCCTTCTTTTGACCAAGGTCACCCCTCCAGCACATTGCCATTTTTTCTGCTACCTTTGTTACAACCTGCTATAAAACTGTCAACAATCATTGTCCCCATACCTCACTCCAAGCTCCTTAACTCTCTCCAGTAAGGCTTTTGCCCCACACCTTGTGAAACTGTCAAGATCATCAGTGACCTCCATCTGGCCAAACCAGTGGTCAGTTCTCAGTCCTCATTGTACTTGGCCTTGGTAACTGTTATTAGTACTATTGTTGTGCACAAGGTCTTTGTGTCTCCATGATGCTGAACCATCTCTGAGAATGATTATTTCTTATAACCTGAGGTGTTGGAGATTTCCACCCTGCCCCTTTCCCAGAATTCAGTTTTTTCTTGGTTTTGTCTTCTATCTTGATGGTGGGGGAGGGAGGGTCAGGAAAGCCTACACAATTTCAGAACACACTATTCCCACTGAAGTAGGGAGGTTGGCCAGGCTGCTCACCGTGTCCAGTGAGGCAGCTGCCCTCATGTCGGGCAAGAATCCCACGTCCAGCACATGCAGCAAGAAGTCCTGGTTCTCAATGCCATACACACGGTCCAGGAAGAGCACCATGGATGCCTTGTGGTCTGGCACAAAGGATGCGGACATCTTCGGCTGTACCAGGGCCCCATCTGTGGACAAGGACTCAGGGGGTCAGAGATGCCCTTCAGACGCACCCTCCCCAGCATCACTCCCTTGCTGAGTCCCACCCCCTCACACCTTTGCCCAGGGTGGGGATCTGCAGTGGGAGGCTGATGATGCCCACGAGGTCATCCAGGGGCACAAGGGAGCGCAGGATGGCACGGATCCGCAGGGCCTCCCCCTTGCCGGCTTGGATCAGCTGGAGGGGAGAGGGGAGCATATCACTGGGAAACTCATGACCCATTTGGCATTACCCCACTCTATCCCTTCCTGACCCACTGGAGCAGAAATCCTTCTCATGGGGATAACTCAGGGGTCAAGAATACACAGCCCTGACCCCAGCCTGTGTGTCTCCACAGCAGCCTTGACTACCCTGTGTTCTCACTATCTGTTCTCCCCTCACTGGACAGGGAGCTCTGGGAGAGTGAGGTCTGGGGCTATCTTGGTCACTGGTGTGTCCCCAGCATTGCCTAACTCAGGACCAATGTTGAATGCCTGAATGAAGCAGTTTAAGGCCATGCACGCCCCTCGGTCTTTGGTTCTCACATGCATCTCTGGTGCACAGCGTCCAAGAAGATCAATCAAGGCAGCGTAGAAGGACATGATGGCGTGTCCCAGGTGCACCCGGTTTTCCTCAGGGGGCTCCTCCCCAAAGCTGCAGGGGAAGGAGGGTGGTGTTGGGGAGGCAGCAAGGGGCACAGGAGGGCAGGTTGTTCTGTTGAGGAGGGGGCAGGAGACTCACTGCTCACGCCTCCGGTCCCTGCGGACACCGGGGCCGTCCCTCGCAGGGTCCTCAGAGATGCGGATGGCCTCTTCGATGGCAGCCAGCAGTCCCGAGCCACCCTCGCCCCGAAGGGCCGGCCCAAAGCACTCGGGCTTGCGGATGAGTAGCCGCACCACCACATTAGCGTTCTCCTCCACACTCTCACCTGGTGGCTCAGGTGGGATCAGGAGGCCTTGTGAGCCCAGGGTCCCTCCCTGGGTAGCCTTGGGCCCTGCACCTCAAGAGTTCATGCCCAGACCCTGCCTCCTGCCCACGCCAGGCTTGTAGCTCAAGATGTGAGCCACACCTGAGTGATCCCATCCCCCCCCCCCACCACCACCACCTTCCTCACCGTTGACGAAGACAGCAAAACGCAGAAAATCCAGGTAGCGCTCACCGCCGCAGGGGTTCCAGCCGATGTCTGGGTACCCTTTGGCCAGGAGCATGGGGCAACTCTGGAGGCCACAGCCAGCCAGGTAGGACACCACCTGGGGGCAGAGGAGGGCTCAGCCAGAGGCCAGACCCACACTACTGTCCTCCCCAAGGCTCAGGTCCCTGACAATCCCTGGTGCTCTGCACTCCAATTATCTCTGGAACCCACTGCAAACAATAACTCTCATCCTCTGCCCTAATTTCCCACCTGCCATCAGTGGGGCCTCCACCCAGGGCTCCCTGCTACCCCCAAATCTGTCCCCCACACTCAGTCAGAGGGACCCTGTAAACACCTGAATCAAGTCATGTCCCTCTCCTGCTCAGAATGCTCTGGTAGTGCATTACACATGGCAAAAGCCAGAACCCTCACTGTGGCCCACAAGACCCTCCACACAACCTCCCTGCAGTACCTCCTGCCTCACCTCCCACCACTCACCCCTCGCTCCCTCTGCTCTAACCACCACACTGTTCTTCAAAATCATGAGGTTCGCTACTGCCTCGTGACCTTTGCACTGGCTGTTCTCCTGTCTGGAATGCTCTTTCCCCTGATGTCTACATGGCTCCTCACCTGCTTCAGAGCTTTACTTGAATGTCACTACCTCAGGGAGGCTTTCTCTGATCACTCTTATTTAAACTTGGACACCCTTCTGACACTTGATAATTTTCTCTCTTGCTTACTTTTTTCTCTCTTCAACACTTATCACTAGCTAATATACCATGTCTTTTATTATTCATCTTGTTTATTATCCATCCACCCAGCTAGAACAACGACAAGGATTTCTGTCTCAATCACTGTCATACTCCTACTGCCCTGCACATAGTAGGTGCTCAATAAACATTTGTTAAATAATATAATAGTGGATAACTGTTATTGAGTATTTACTGTTTTGTAAATGCTTTCACAGGTTAATTCATTTAACCCTCTGATCAGCTCTATAACATTGTTTTAATTATATTCATTCTGCAGATGAGGAGACAGAGGCTTGGAGAGTTTAGGCCATTTGTCCAAGGCCATGCAGCAAGGGAGTGGGGAGGGTTAAATCTAAGTTTCTGAACTCGGAGCCCTTCAGTGCTACACCCAGAAGCAGGGGCACAGAGGGCCAAGAAATGTGCCAAGGCCACACAGCTGGGAAGGGTGGAGCGTGGATTTGCCCTCAGCTCCACGAGTGAGTGACTGGGGTCCTGATCTTTCCTTGAAAATTATTCTCTTTTTGATTTGATCCTGGACCATCCAAAATGGCTCCTCATAATGGGTCCTGAATCAGCAGGTGCCCCAGGGTCCAGGCCTCCTCCCTCCACACCTTCTCCAAGTCCTGCTCCTGCAACGCCAAGGCCAGCTCATTGTTGTCAATGACAGAGGCAGCTGCCACGTCCAGGGGTGTGGAGCCCTGCATGCCTGTGGGGGCGAGAGGTTGTGAGAATGCATTTTGGAGGTGCTCAGCCACCTGTCTCCTGCTTATCTTACCCGCTCTGGGAAGCCCTTCCTGACCACCCCTTTCCAGCCTGGGTTGGGTGCCTCTTCTGTCCTGTGCTCCCCCATCCAAAGTCTGACCACTTTGGGCTGTTGCTGTCTGGGATGGGTCTGTCTTCCCTGATGTACTATGAGCCCCATGAGGGCTAGGCCCAGGGCTGTATGGGTGTCCCCAGCACTGCTCATTACAGGATTAGACCAAGGGCAGTTGAGAGTCAGTGTTTACTGAATGAATAAGTGAGCCATTGGAGAGTGAGGGGGGCCTGGATGGACTGCCAGGAGCGGGCTCTGGGAGGCATCACCGGGCTCGGGGGGTTCTCACCCAGGCCAATGCCACTGTTCTCCAGCAGGTAGCTCAGGTGGTCAAACATGGAGCGCTGGTTCTGCCTGCTAATGCGGCAGAAGTAACAGAGGAAGCGGCAGCAACTTGTCACCATCTTGGGGAAGCGGATCTCCTGGGGTGGGCAGGGTGGGCCAGTGGTCAGTGCCTGCCTTCCGTGGCTCCTGGCCCTGAGCTCCCCAGTCCATGTAGGACCCTTACCTTGGATTCGCCACCCCCAAGGACATTCACCATGACCTCCATGACTGTTTCATGCATGCCCAGTGCCCTCATCAGATTTGGGTGCTGGTAGAAAACTTTGTTGTTCATGATGTTCCTGTGGACAAATGTAGTTCTTGCGTGGGGCCCAAGTCCAGGGAGAGCCCTCAGACTTTTGGGGGAGCCGTCACCAAGTGGGCTCCCCTAGGGAGGAGACCTTTGTCACGTTGCCCATTGTATCCTCAAGTGCCTAGAAATGGCCTGGCACACAGTAGGTGCTCAAAAAATATTTGCTGAGTGAGTAAATGAGGCACTTAACACTGAGTGCTCAATACTATTATTATTGTTACAAGCAAGAGCTCACTAAAGCTGCACAGGGACTCTACAAGGTAGGCATGACTCTTCCCCATTTGAGATGAGGAAACTGTAGCTCCAACAGGGTGGACTTTGTGCCAAGAGTCAGTCACAGGTGAGTAGGAGCTGTTATCCCAGGGGTAGGTGGGACGGTAAGGGGAAGGGACATTATCTAGGGCAGCGGTTCTCAACCTGTGGGTCGCGACCC